CCCTATAGCAAAAACCTCTCCAAAAAAAATTCAAAGAGAACCTGAAAACACTGGGAGACAAAGCTCTAAAGACCCAGAGACAGTCCTTAAATTCTTAGTTCTCTTTCCTGAGAAAAAGTCAGGACCATGATAGATGAGATCTCATTTAAGTAGAAGATCAAGAATGAAACAGAGAGGCTAGTTAAGGTGGTTAAGGTACTGGATTCCCACATGGCTGGCCATGGTTTGAGTATCGGACCTATCTTCTTGAAACATCACAACAAATATAACGATTATTAAAAAATAAAAAAGAATGAAACAGAAATGACTGCAGGCAGGATCACCATGACTTCTGAAAGGGAAAAGCAGCCACTGTCTCTCTGTGCTGGGCCCTTCTGCTTTTGCCTGTGACGTCCCCATGCTCTATATGTGATAGGTTCAAACTATGAGCACACATAGGACTGTTTTTATAGCTGAGATCAAAGTTTGCTTTATGGAAAAAAGAAGCAAAGTAAACACTATTTTCCCAGCCAGTACATTCTATAGACACTATGTGGCTGCAGAGTCACGAGTGGTGATCACAACAGAGTGTTACCTAGATGTCATCTAGCTCAAATAATCCTTTTCTTGGTAAAACAGTTTCTTTCTCAAAAAAGTTTCCCTCACTGAACCCATTTTGCTAGTGAGAAAGAAATCAGATTTTACAGTAACTGTTATTTTATCAAAAAGGGTAATTTAAAATAAAAACAAACTGGTAATTTGTATTTTTACTTTTAAATACATTTAATATTTCTGAAATCTATGCTAAAAAAAAAAAAAAGATTAACTCGCCACCATGCAAAGTTAAGCTTTTTAAATACTAAATCTCTCTAGCCTGAGACCAAACATCAGTCTACCACTGAAAAGACAATCAAATCCACTAAAAGCTAGCTTTTGGTTTCTCTGAGAAACAAAATACCTCCCATGTTAAATTACACAGAAGCCATTAGCCTGAGGCTAACTCAGTACTCTTGAGTTCCTACCTAACAAACCTTCCTTAGTACATAAACAAACTGAAACCTACTAGTTTTACCAAACACGAACAGCTGAGCTTCAGCCCTCAGGGGCAGCTAACTGATCAAACTAAGTCCAAATAAGCAAATACCCAATCACAACCAATTAAGATTTTTCCATACTTCCAGGTCCAGCCTAGAAAAGCACACTGCCCATGCTGGAGAGCTCTCTGAACCCATTGGTGGGGGTGTTACCTCTTTGATAAACTGTACTTCGCTGAGATGAGTTCTGTCAACAGTGATTTATCTATGGCCCAGCCTAGGTGGTACAGAAGATTGAATACTGGACTATAGGACTGGAAGTCATGTGGCCAAATACCAGTTCAGATACCAGACTGTCTCCCTGGAACACACCAGAGTGTATGTGGGCAGCTAAGATCCTGAGGTGCTGGAGGCCTGGGGAAAGGGCATCGTGGAATGACGGGAGCATCGAGTGTGTTCTATTCCTTTTTCTTGCATTTGCATGCACATGCACTCTACCATGAATAACAATTTTAACTTAAGGAGCAGACCTCCAACAACGCCCAGGAGTACTATCTGAACATGCAAAGGTACTGGCAGAGCCCGCTGTGCCCACAGCAACTGGAGGTTGCAGGTGTTTCCTAGCCAGTTCAAGCTCAGTGGATTTGCCTTCTGACCTCTACAACTTATTTGAGAAACTCTTTCTGGACAGAATCCATACAAAATTAGATTTTTTAAATGAAACTAGCCTGAAGTCCTTAGGTAGATAAGGTTAGAAGACAGGAAATCATAGGTTCATTTGACTCCAATAAGTCTAAAACTCCTCTGTCTGGAACTCCAGTCAATTTCATGTTTAAAAACTATGGATTTGACATGCCATGATCCCCTTCTTCCCTTCCTCCAGTCTCTTGGATCTTGGGCACTTACACAGGTGCCCAGCATGTTTCAGGCTGACTGGATCAGGATTTCAAACTGTAGTCACCACATGGGATCTGGACTCAGGTTGATTCCAAACCTCATGAATAACTTTGAGGGCTTCAGCATTTCAGTGGAAGGAGTAACTGCAGATGTGATAGAAACAGCAAGAGAACTAAAACTAGAATTAAAAGTGTGTGGGAAAATGCACATCAGCGAGTCTGAGAGACCATTTTCATGAGTCTCTTACTATTGCCATCTTAGGCTCAGAGAGCAAACAATTACAAAGGCCACAATTGGCTCCCCTCCAAAAACCTGACCTTCAAACCCATACTCTGATTGGCCACTTCCCATAGCAAATCAGTGAGCTTAGAATCCCTCAGATTTGCATATCCAGCACCTCATGATTGGTCCACAAAGCAACCAATCATAACCCACCTTTTACTATGCTTCATTCAACCAATCACATCCCACCAACATGTATATAACCATGATCCCTGGCCCATAATCGCCAGACGACCCTGAAGAGCTGTGACACCATGTCGTCTCTGGACGACCCTGAGCTATGACACCGCGTCATCTCCGGATGACCCTGAGCTGTGACACCGTGTCTCCGGATGACCCTGAACTATGACACTGCATCGTCTCCGGATGACCCTGAAGAGTTGTAACACTGTGTCGTCTCCGTGCTGCCCACAATAAAGAGATGACCCTGAAGAGGGAACCAGCAGTTAGCGTAATGGCTATGTCGTTGGACTCCCACGTAGTCGACCGCGGTTCGTGTCCCGGACCCGGTGGCTTAAAACTCACGCCGGGCGCGTGTGCGTGCGTGCCCAAGATCCCGAGAGGAGAATGGAGGAGAAGGGATTGCGGCGTGACCATCCCCCCTGGGGGGTGATTTCTCGCTTTCTGTCTCTATGTCTCTCTCTGTCTGTCTGGCGAGCGCACGCGCCCTACAGTGAAAATCTCTCCAAAAAAAAAAAGAGATGACCCTGAAGAGACACTGCGTCGTCTCCATGCTGTGACAGTGCGTCGTTCGTCCTGTCTCTCACTCCTTCCCTCAGGAAACCTGTTCGACTGTCCTGCGGGCTGGGACACGTGGTGTCCAGACATGGTCCTGAGTACAAAGGATCCAGTGAAGAGCTCCTGAGGAAGGCTCCAGTGCAGAGCAACCCAGAAAAGCCGGTGGAAAACAGAGGGACGAAGAGAAGATGTCCTGGTAAGTATTATGTTTTATTTTAAGTACAGGTAATAATGGGACAAAAGCTTAGTCAGCACGAAATATCCGTTCAGAGCTTAATAGAAGCCCTTGCCGTTATGCTCATTAAAGGAGAGCAGATCATGCAAAATGATCAACCCCAGGAGGAGACTATAGCTACCTCAGATCTAACCAAGGATTCTAAAATTGAAAAAAAAAAAAAACAGGGAGAGGATCTTATTTCCGTAGATAGTGAAGAAGAAGTTAAAAGCCCCGAAAGCAAGACAAAACCCAAAAAATCTAAAAATCTAAAAAAGTAAAACAACCTTAAGGCTCTACAAGAGCCAAAGAAAAACAAGTCATCATCTAGTTCAGAGGACGAAATCTTAGAGGCCAAGGCTGACAAATGCAATAATCCAAAATGGCCTCTCGGACTCACTGATGTGCAGTTTCCCACAAAAGTGAAGCCTCAAGATGTGACTGAATTGCTGCAATTTCATAATAAAACTTTTAACAGACGAGACACTGTTTCTTAGGGATAAACACAGAAAGTGATCTCCTGAGATGGAATCTACTCCTAGTGAAGATACTGTGAACACTGTGGAAATGAAAAGATGATATAGTGAAGAAACTTCTCAAAGAAAAGGAACTCATGGGACCAGATGGCATAATGGTTACATTGCTGGACTCTCACATAGTAGACCACAGTTTGAGTCTGTCCTGGTCACTTAAAACTCATGCCAGGTACAAAGGCATGCATGTCCAAGATCCTGAGCAGTGAATGGAGAAGGGACTGCAGTGTGGCCATCCCTCCTGGGGAGGATTTCTCATTTTCTGTCTCTCTGGTGAGCACGTGTACCCTATAGCAAAAATCTCTCTTAAGAAAAGAAAGAGAAGGAAAGAGAAAGAGAACAAAGAATGTATTTGCAGGAGTAGCTAAGAGTTGCTCTGCAGGCATCCTAAGTTGTGGATGGATAGCAAGCTTGGCTTTTATGAGGTTTTATAATCTTTGTCTCTTCCAGTGGGTCTCTAGGTTACTATGACTTTTGTTTCCAGGCTAATGACAAAAATGGATACCTCTTTAAACAAGACCATTCTACAGCAATGCATTGTCGGTCACTCCCTGAACAAATTCTATGACCAACTGGACTCAAATACTGCTCAACTGTCTATACTGCCTAAACTTGGACTTCCGTTAGTTCACTAGGGGCTCTTCTCAAGACCTACACTTCAGTTTTCTGGTATTTTATTCTTGAGAGTCATAACAGTAGTCTCCCTGCTGTGCTATGTCCTCTCATGAATCTTAAACGTTCATATGCAGCCACCTTCTGTGTGTGAAACAGTCTCATTTGTGAATGACCTGACATAGTTAGTGACTTGTGAATTCCACACAAAGACAGAACAAGTCCATCATGACTGTCACAGTAACATTAATGCCCAAGGTTCTAGTCAGTCACTTGAGATTGAAATGCTGACCAAAATGGGGATATTATGAAATTATATAAGCCACTGTTAACCACAACCTAACTTAGTACACATAACACACTGAGACCAAACTTAGAAGTATACTTTTGTAAGAGTTGAGTTTTAGCCAATCACAAGAAGCCAAGCTTCAGCAAATCATAGGCAGCCAAGTGATCAGACCATGCCGAAACAACACAAAGGCCCTGCTGTAACCAATCACAATGTGTGTCTTTTACTGGGGTGTTCAGCCTATAAAAGTTTGCTGCCTACACTGCAGAGTGGAGCTCTCTGAACCCTTTTCCATTTTAAATCCTGCTGGATTTATAAACCATTCTTCGCTTAAATAAACTCTGATAAATTAGATTTGTCTCAAGTTTTTCAAACATTTAAAAGTACCATAGTTACCTGAAATGTACAAATAATGAACCACATTCTTTTTCACAGAATTAGCAGGCATATATCACCTGTTTGTTTTTCAGATCATTTATTTTACTGCTTCTTTTTTTTACTTGCTGGACTGTCCAAAACTTCAATCTTGCCTTTTCCACCTTGTGAGTTAGGAAGTTTAATGTTATCTATGGTGACTTCACCAGCGATGCTGTCATCTTCATCCTCGGATTCTGAACTGTCCTCTGAACTGTCTTGTGAACTCTCTTCTGAACTGTCCTCTTCTTTTGAATCTGACTGATTCATCTCAAACAACGCCACATCCTGCAAAAAGTATGAGGAGGGGGACCAGCAGTTAGCGTAATGGCTATGTCGCTGGACTCCCATGTAGTCGACCGTGGTTCGCGTCCCAGACCCGGTGGCTTAAAACTCACGCCGGGCGCATGTGCATGCGTGCCCAAGATCCCGAGAGAATGGAGGAGAAAGGATTGCGGCGTGGCCATCCCCCCTGGGGGGTGATTTCTTGCTCTCTGTCTCTCTCTGTCTGTCTGGCGAGTGCACGCGCCCTATAGCAAAAAAAAAAAAAAAAAACAAAAAACACAACTCTCAAAAAAAAAAAAAAAAGGTATGAGGCAGGGAATCTATTTCAAGGCATTTCTCGGAACAGTAGTAATTTGACAACACTGGGAACAACCAACATTTAGCACAAATATTGAAGTGTAAAGGGCAAGAAATGTTTTTAATATGGCATGGCACTTTTATGCTTTTGGTTGTCTAGTTGCCAGGGCCCACTATAATGAAGATTTGCATTCACTACAAGCTTAAAAAGTCTCCTGCAGCCTGAGTCTATATATCCTGAACATAGTCAATAACATCCACTCAACAGTCAGGTGCCATACTACGTATTGGAGACTCAACAACACAAAATCAAAACAAAATTCTTCATGATATCTATGTTTTTGAGCAGAGACCAGCAAACTACAACCTGTAGGCCAAATTGTTCCCACTTTTGTTTTTGTTCAGCTTTTGTTCAGCTCATGAACTAGAATGGCTTTTACTTTTTCATTTAATTTTATTTTTAGCTTTTGGCCATAGGGCGTGTGTGCTCGCTAGAGAGACAAACAAAGAGAGGGAAAGTGAGAACTTACCCCCCCCCCGAGGGGGATGGCCACATCACAATCCCTTCTCCATTTCCTCTTGGAATCAGGGGCATGCACACACAAGCCTGGGATCATTTTTAAGCTTCTGGGTCCAGGACTTGAACCTTAGTCAGCAATGTGGGGCCACTACACCACCTGCTTGTCCCAGCTTTTACATGTCTAAGTGGTAAGAAAAAATAATCTAAATAAGAATATTACTTATTTTGTGAAATGTGAGGATTATATGAAGCTAATATCTCAGGATCCATAAATAAACTGTATAAATCTTGCTTATTTGCATATATATTATAGATGGCCACTCTCACACTGGGAGAGCAGAGCTGAGTAGTTACCACACAGACGTAGGTGACAAAACACAGTAGTAATATTACTGAATGAAACAAAAACAAAGTTTAGTTACCATCTGTACGACTTTTCCAAGAGTCCCATCAATATTTTCAATATTGAAACTACCAGGTGGTGCAGCTGCCATTTCTTTTCTTAGCTTTTCATTTGCCTGAGCCATCTGTGGGAGAAAGGTCTGTACTTGGTCTAATACTATGGAGAGAAAACATATCAATATTTAGGTTAGTAAATCCTCAAATCTAGAATTTCCTATAAAATATGAATTGAGAAGTAATAATGACAACAATAAATCTTTCCAGTTTCCCCCATTTTAAAAACCTCCAGCCTCTTCTGAATTCTTAAAGCAGTAGGATTACACAAATCAGCAATCATTTCTCAAATGGTTTATTTGTGTTCCTAATAAATCCCCAGAACTATAAACTTCTGCAAGGCTGGCACTTGACAAATAGTAAGGAGGCAGTACTACAGCTTAACAGTTAACTGTACCACCTTGAGATTTTAGCCAGATACTTCTGTGATACTATAGGAAAGCGTATGCTAAATCTTAAAGCTAAGCCAGTTACAGTTCTTATTAAATAAAACAAAATCCAACATATACTACAAAATCCAAACTATCTAGCATCAAATAAAAAATTACCAAACTCATAATAAGCAGAAAAACAGTCCATACAGTAGGAAAAAGCAAGAGAAATAGATCCAGAAATTACACAGATGATAGAATAAGTAATAAGAATGTTAAAATAGCCCTTATACTCCAAATATTCAAGAAAGCAAAACACAAACATAATGAAGAGAGAAATGAAAGAAATTGTCTCAGATTTAAACTGTGGCATGAAGACCCTGTCTGAGATCTTGCCTCCCATCTTCTCTCTCATAAAGGAAATAAACTTTAAAAAAAAAAAAAAAAGGCTGAAAACTTCCCAAATTTGACCAAAACTATAAACCCAGAGATCCACAGAAGTTCAACAAACCCCAAGCTCAAGAATCGCAAAACCACTGGGCTCATCACCATCAAGTGGGCAAAAACTAGTGCTAAAAAAATCTTGGGACCAACAGATGGCATAATAGTTACATCATTGAACTCCCATTAGTCAACCGCAGTTTGGGTCCTGGACCTAGTGGCTTAAAACTCATACTGGGCGCATGTATATGTATACGTGCTCAAAATCCCAAGGGGAGAATTTAGGAGGGATTTTAGAGTGTCCATCCTCGCTGAGGGGTGATTTCTCACTTTCTGCCTCTCTGGTGAGTACATGCACCCTATAGAAAAAAAATCTCTTTAAAAAAAAAAAAATCTTGGGAACCAGCAGTTAGTGTAATGGCTATGTCGCTGGACTCCCACATAGTCGACCATGGTTCGCGTCCCAGACCCGGTGGTTTAAAACTCACGCCAGGCGTGTGTGCGTGCATGCCCAAGATCCTGAGAGGAGAATAGAGGAGGAGGGATTGCAGCGTGACCATCCCCCCTGGGGGGTGATTTCTCGCTTTCTGTCTCTATGTCTCTCTCTGTCTGTCTGGCGAGCGCACACGCCCTTTAGCAAAAAAACTCTCAAAAAAAAAAAAAATTCTTAAAAGTAGCCAGAGAGGGACCATTAAATGACATAATAGTTACACTGCTGGACTCCACATGGCTGACCACTGTTTAAGTCTTGGATCCAATGACTTCAAACTCATGTTGGGGGAAACCAGCAGTTAGCGTAATGGCTATGTCACTGGACTCCCACGTAGTCGACCGTGGTTCGCGTCTCGGACCCGGTGGCTTAAATCTCACGCCGGGCGCATGTGCGTGCGTGCCCAAGATCCCGAGAGGAGAAGGGATTGCGGCGTGACCATCCCCCCTGGGGGGTGATTTCTCACTTTCTGTCTCTATGTCTCTCTCTGTCTGTCTGGCGAGCGCACGCACCCTATAGCGAAAACCTCTCCAAAAAAAAAAAAAAAAACTCATGTTTGCGTGTGCTCAAAAGCCTGAGAGAATGGAGGAGAACGGACTACAGCATGGTCATCCACCCTGGGGAGAGAATTCTCACTTTCTGTCTTTCTCTCTGGCAAGCGCATGCACCCTATAGCAAAAATCTCTCTTAAAAAAAAAAAAAGCCAGGAGAGGAAAAGGAACAGGTCATCAAAAGACACCTTCATGGCTCCTGAGAACTAGTGATTTCAAAGGAGTAAGAGAAATGAAGATTTTCACTGGTAACTCAGCCTCCAGCTCACAAACTTGAGTGACGCTCAGACTGAACTTCAAGTTTGGAAGAAACACAACGTCCATCAGATGACTAGAAATCACCGCAGGACCACAAAAAATATGGGAAAGCAAGAAAATACTTCTTCTCCAAGGGAAAGGAATAACTCCTCTTCATCCATAGACAGTTCAATGGAAAGCATGGAAAAGTCTGATAAAGAATTTAGGACATTCATAATGGCAAAGCTAACAGAGATGCAAGGGAAGAGAGACAATGAACTGCAGAAGAGAAAAGAAAAAGGATCTGACGAGTTCCAGGAGGTGAGGAAATTCCACCAAGTTCTAAAAGAGGAATTACACACTTTACAAAAGAATCAAATGGAACTGTTAGAGATGAAGGCTATAATACAGGAAGTCAAAATCTCCCTTGAAAGTATTAAAAGCAGACTAGATCATACAGAAAAAAATCTCAGATGTAGAAGAGAAAATCGCTGGCCTAGAAAAATCCTCCATGAAGACTGAGAAAATTACCCAAAAGTTTGAGAATATATGAGAAGTACTAGATACCATCATCCAAACATCCAGATAACTGGCATCCCAGAAGGTGAATAGACTCATAAGGGCATTGATAATCTATTCCATGAAATCCTGCAAGAAAACTTTCCAAACCTAGAGAGGCACTCAAAGATCCAGTCTCAAAAAATACAAAGGACCCCAAATAGAATCAACCCAAGAAGATCTTCTCCAAGACACATTATAGCCAGACTGACCAAAACCACAGACAAAGACAAGATACTAAGATTAGGAAGAAAGAAACGGCAAGTTACCTACAAAGGATATCAAGTCAGACTAACAGCAGACCTCTCATCGGAAACAATGCAAGCAA